TAATACACACAACAAAATGCAATTCACAAGCAAGAGAGCAAAGATTAAAAGAAGATCAAAAGCCAAAAGTTACACCAAGGATAAATGATAAAAACAACTTGCTTATCAATTTGAAACAGAGCCATGCTAGACTCAACAATACAACACAGCATGACTCGACAGTTAAAAACAAAACAAAAAATACCCTAAAATTAAAAAAAGCTACACTTCACTGAGCAACCTAAGAGCTTTTTTCTCTCGAGGTCTACTGTCTTTATTTTAAAAACTAGTGTTCCTGGGTCAATATACACACACACGGCTTGATCCTTTTAGCAGCCAACCTGTAACATGTACAAATAAAGACCTGATGCATAAAAAGCACTTGATATATAAGACTTGACATATATTTTATAACAACTTCCAACCAAATCACAAGCAGAGAAAAAGGCTTCATCCTCACAGCTTTACTCTCGCCCACGCACTTGCATCCATAAAAAGAAAAAAGTAAACACTGAGAAAACAAAGAAAAAGGTGGGGAAGCAGTACTACACCACGCCTAAATCCAAGTTCTGAAATTATCCAGTGCATCTGATTATGTTTTTTTATGTTTTACTTCCAAGGCTATATGCTGTATATGCATCCTATCTGGAAAGTCTCAACATGCAACGAGAGCAACTAAAGATACCTTTTAAACTGCATTGTGTTCTTTTTTGATCAAACTTGCTCATCATAAGAAAAAAAAAAAACACATAACATCAACACTTCAAACTATTGCCTCAAAAAGTTCCCATAGAACTGGTGACACGCATTGATCATATCTGGCAGACACAGCAGTCCTTTAACCTCTGATCTCTCTTCAAACATGCACTAGTGACCTTCTTCTAAATCATTGTTTGTTTGTAGCTCGCTGGTGGAGACGGCCACTTTATCAAAGCATCACACTTCTCACTGAGCAGCTTCGTTTCTGCACTAGTTATCATAAGAGCACAGGCACAAACAGCAGTGTGTGTGTGTGCGTGCGTGTGTGTGTGTGACTGCTATCACTCTGCTAAGACACTCTCACTCAACATTCAGCTAGAAAGGAGTCACATGCAAGAAGAGGCAAGACATGACAACAGGGCTGTGAGGTCACGCCCTGTACAGAGGTGAAAAGAGGAAGAGGAGGAGGAAGGGGGGGGGGGCACACTGTACATGCAGCTCTGAGGCCTAAGCCTGACCCAGTGTTGATTTCATGTTAGCCACTAGTGAGCCAGGCAGGTGAGTTAGTCAGAGGCTCTGTTAGAGCTGCTTACCTTTTCTTAGGTAAATGTTATCTGAGAAATAAAAACAAACAAAAAAGGAAACAAATAAAACAGGTAACTGTAACACAGGTGAAAGCAGTCAAAAATACACACTTGGCTCTCATACTCCAGCTTACTAAGAATACATACACTTACTCACACACACGCACACACACACGCACACACACAAAATGTGCATACTATGATGCAAATCCTTGAAAGCGACAAAGAACTCGTAGGGGTCACACATTGACACTATGTTGCAGAAGATTCTTTGGGGAATATAACACTGACTCCATTACATGATATACGCCTCAGTTTGCATCATTTAACATGCAGTGGTGTCAGCCATCCATCATTATTAGAATATATACACACACACACACACACACACACACACATAATTATACATGTATAAGCTTTCTGACAGGCAGACAGAGAGCTAGTTAATATCAGTGGTTAGTTATATTATAATTGGAACCGACTTTTTAGTGCAAAACACATTTTTTTATTAACACCTGCAAATACTTTCATCAATTTATGATAAATTGATGAAAGTATGATGGATAGAAATTGTGAAATTATTTTAAACCCACAGAATTTAAAAGGTAACCCTGCTCAGTTATAGATGTTTGCATGGCTCTCTTTCTTTCTTTCTTTCTTTGCTGATACTGACCTCACTTTTTTTGTGTCTCTTATGCATTTAAGGTCTGCCTCCAGCAAGGTGCTGGCTTTTGGGATGTGCATGTATCTCCCTCCGGAAATCTGTGCCACACGTGGTTATTCATAATAACCTGCCTGTGTATAGGAAGGATGTCCACAGCTAGCAGACTACACCATCAAACATTGCTGCCATTAGCTGAAATACCAGCTGGTTAAACAGGTTCATCTTCTTTTCATCTTATTAATGCACTACTCCATTGATTAAGAAAATGAGCAGTTGAATTCTGGCTTTGTGTGACATATAATTACATGACCGAAGAATTGTGCAACTGCTAATTGTTAGCCACACCAAGCAAACTAATCTGATATTTTGTGTGTGTGACATGTGGCGCAAAGTTGGACACACTTCAGCGACATCTAAGAGGCGCGCACATTACTTGTATGAGCAGGATCTAATCTGAAATATGACACTGTGCTCAGTTTCGATTGTTTACCTACTTTTAGACTAGTCTGTTGCTCTAATCTTTTCATCCTGCTTTACGCATTATCTATTTATTTATTTATTTATGTATTCTGGAAGGAGGTCAGGGTGGATGGTTGGGAACACACAGATCAGACAATCTGATTTAGAGACCAGAGTTTGACATGGTTCCTTAAGCAAATGACACAATGATTATGAATTTAGCCAAAAAGTATTTAAAAACACAATATTTTTTCCTTTTGCCCAATGAATGCTGTAACAACAACAAAAAACAACAACCTGAAAGTAAAAAATGTTGCAAAACTGTTCAGTAAAACCATTTCTTTGACTTGTTCCTGCAGCTAATGCAAATATAAGTCGTGATTTTAAAACAATCATAAAATGGCACAACCATGGATCACAATTCCTTCAAATCATTTGCAATTCAAAAAAAAGGAAGCAAAAACTGTAAATTTACAACACGCACGCTTCACATCAGATTGAATTCTTAAGACTGAAAAGTTTTAACCGAACGACAGAAAAGTTTTTCCAAATCTTCTGATATTTTGCTTAATTTATTTTTCATTAAAAAATTCATAATCTTTTATGTAAACTTTGGGGGAAAAAAAATGATATTTATATGTCAGGTTGGATTTTGGGAACTTGTGATGGCTGTTTTGTTTTGTTTTTAAACATTGCTGTCAAATACCTGGGGAAACCACGTCACTGATTGATAGCGGAACAATCAGTACTTGCAGATGCTTTCACCTACGTCATTTTGCAACTTGAACCACACAAAACGCAGATTTGATCTGTTTTCTTTTTGAATGATTATCCCCTGAGATGCGAATGTGAATCATCACCTTGTGGAAACAGATATTGTATAATCACTTTCCACAAGAACAGTTTCTGACTGAAAAGGACACATGGAGTCGATGTGAGGGCAAGGACACTAGAGTCAAGTGAAAATCCAGGTCATCTCCACAACGACTGCGGCGCATCTATCCATCAGGAGGGAAAGTGTCGAGGAAAAATAAATGGTCTGAACAAGCCTGGGAGGATGAGTCATCTATCTGAGGGGGAGCTGAATGTGGAAAAATATCTCAGCTGTGAAAGCTTTGACAAAGTTGTGGTGAAAGGGACAAGATTTCCTAAGAAGTTAAGGATGTATTGTTTGGGTAAGGCTGAATGGAAGTGCAAAAGTGGAGACTAAAAAAAAAAGCTCCTTTTGTACAACAGGTATCCTGCCTTCGTTTAACACCTGGCTGAGGTGAATGGGATGGATGTGATGGGTGTGATGCTTCGGTTGGATAAATGGCAGTTGAGCAGCCATTACAAAAAAAAATAAAAAGTTCTTTCAGGAGACCTGACTTTCCACTCAGTTTACTTAAAGCATTCTTTGAAAAGTAAATATGGGAGGTGTTCATGTTAACCTGTGTGTGTGGGTGCATTAACGTCACAACTACAACTGTCAATTGTCGCACCAAATATAGCATCCTCTTCTCAGGACAGAAAGAAAACAAACTCACTGCACTGAAGCAAAAGGTAATAATTTGAATAAAACTATTATTTTAAAAGAGCAAATTAGTTTACATTAACGTTGTATATGGTATATACAGATTTGACAACCAACATGTGGTTAACCCTTGTTTATAGTAATTATGTGTCTATTTTTACAAGCACTGCTCAGATTATTGTAAACTAAAGAAATCCTGAAGAGAGGAAAAGCAAATGAGCTGCAGTTAATAAGCCACAGTACTTTTTGCTCGCCATTGTGTGTTACCCTGCAACACGGGCTATGTGGCACTGCCTGTTAGAGACAAGTGTATGAGCAGGTTTTCTTTGCTGGCATTTCAGTGATAGAAAGTTGTAGGCGCTCAGAGATTCCCAGATAACACAGAGGGACATCGTTTCAACGGTTGGAAAAGATGACACGTTCTGGAGAAAACTTTGAACCAAATTTCCATTTCCACTCCTATACCAGCGCTGATTTTGACACCTTTTGATCAGAAGAAGGTTTTTTGATCAGTTTCCATGAGCAATGACCAAAGCATCAACATTAATTTGTGGCTTATCTGCTCCTAGCTCACATCGCTCTGTCACTAATAGTTTCCCCCCAAAGTACCGGCTAGACAAACTGACTTCACAAGATAAAACTGCCTTTCTACTAGCTGCTGTTAGCTGACACTAGCCTACCTCTTCAAATACTCAATCCAGATCAGTTTTATTCCTTATGCAGAGTTTGCTTTGGAGGGGAGGGTGCACAACGCACTGGATTTTTAATGGGAATGTGTTTTCAGTTTTTTAAAGGTGAAACACTACACATTTTTTAGACTACATTTGAGTTAGTTTTCAAAAGCTAGTTTTGAATTAGAAATGAACTGATTTTTATTCTAACAAAACAGCATAATCTGTAATGGTACCAGAGATGTAAGTATTATCAGCTGATTTTCTAACAGAAGTGAGTAAAACTTGTGTAAATTTCATAAATGCTGCGTATTTCAGTAACCTTTGACCAGGATTTTGTTTATCTTCACAGTGGTTCAAGAGGACCCTTTATGATACAGAGATCTAAATGTGTGCGTGGTGCACGGGTGCATCAAAGTAATCCTTCCTACCTTCAGGGGGCATGAGGGTCTTGTTGTTTTGTGCACACCAGCCAACTGGGTGCAGCTCAGCTGTCATGACATCACACCAGAAGTCAGCCTTGCGGTCCTCGCCGTAGCCACTGAAGCGCAGGAGCAGCAGCTGGCCACATGTAGTGATGATGGTGGCCACCCAATAAGTGTCTGGGTTGCTCTTATTGGCCACTTCGAGCTTCATGCCAGGCTGGAAGCTGCTCTGAAGGCTGATCTCCACCTATAGAGGAAAACAAAAGGACTTTCAAGTTATAATCTTTTTTTTTTGCTTGTTTTTTTTAAGACGTTTGTCTTACTGTTTTTCCTTAAAAATTGAAGTTAACACTGACATTTGGGAGACCAACAGGGCATGAACACAATCAGAGGATCAGAAGTCAATTTCCATTTATAAACTCTGGTTGTACATATAAACTGTGTCTGACAGCTGAAATATTACAGGTCAACCATGAACCACACTTCAGTGTGCAGGTTTGTGGCCCCTTTGGATACTTTGGCTTTAAAATAAGGGTGATAAGCATGAAGTTTGTTTACATCCTGCTTGACCCCCCTGATCTTTACACTGTAGGTTGGTACTACATCCATAATAAACTATAAAAAAAAGAATAAAAAGGAATAAACTAGGTAAATTTGACAAATGAACAAACAAAAAAAAGAGGAACAGTCTTTTTTTGTGGAACTAAAGTAGTCACAGTAGGGGTGTATGACATAACCAAAATAATATTAATAACACTGTGTGGGGGATGAGTTCTGGCGCTGCTTCAAAACTCAGTATTCACAGTAGCAAAACGAGCGTTAAAGGGAACTCCACTCATTTTACACACAAAGGTCAGCTTATGCGAAGTGCTTCACAGCCTGTGAAAACAGTTGCTTAGTGTCTTTCCTTGCTTTGCAGGAGGCCAAAGAAAACAACCCTTGAGAATTTCATTAGGACCGTCATGGCTCAAGCTTCAGACTAGACAAACTAATGAAAGAAAAGTGTTACAAACAGAAAGCATGAAGATTCAAAGACAAGAGCATGCAGGAAGTTGTAGTGCAGGAATATTCGTTATGTGCAATCTGGTGTTTCTGGAATTGAACCTACATCAGATATTAAAGGTCAGGATATTTCCACCCATGCATTTTTTTTAAAGATGCCATTTCCAGGCACTTTCTGTCTTGTAACTGGAATTTTTTTCAGTTTGTTGGCGGAGATGTCCTCATGCAAAATGATGATGGGAATTTTCTGACATTTGACTAAATAACCAACAATAACAGTGTGAGACTCCAGACTCCATATATCAGTGAGCTACTAAAACCATACATGACATTTAGATCTCTGGAGTCTACTGATCAATGCTGTACCTATATCCAGGCTAAAGACTAAAACAAAGACAAAAGGTGACTGGGCGTTTCTGTTGGACGCAAGATCTGTGGACACTGTTAATATCTTTAAAAAGAAACTTAGGACCCTTCTGTTCAGACTTCTATTTAGTTTTATAAATGTATACTATTTCAATTGTTGGATCTTATTCTGTATTGTTATTTTTTGAGAGCACTATATAAATAAACCTTACTTACTCCTGGGTTCATGTGAAAATGTGACATTTTCTAGTCAATTCCACCCCATTTCACCCTATTTCACTTTGATATGTATTTGTTAAATTATGAACTGAATTTTTTGATCCACATCCAGATCTGGATTGACTCTAAAAGTTAATTATTTACGTTTAACTGAGCCTCACCTCTGGAAAACATTTAGAGCAAATCTATTCATGGCACTTTGAGTACTCCTGCTAACAAACCAATCACATCACCTCCTTAAAGGAAGTAATTGAACAACAGTGTGATATCTAATCTCACATGTATTTTATCAATAGTGTATCACCTGATATTACATATTTACTGACAGGATCAAGTGCTGAGAGTGCCTAAGAACTGCTTTACAGTGCTACTAACAGCATGTAAGACGGGTGTAGGTGAGATTTTAATATTCACCAAACCAAATTACTTTCAGAAAAAGACTAAAACAATCCCTCAGGTTAAACAAAAGCCTCTCAGTTTGTCCTTGTGCAGAAAAAGCGATAAATCTGTATATAAAAGCAGCACAGAATAATGCATTTCCACCATAGCCACAAGCTGCTGTACAATTCTAGAGAACATTACAAGCCCAGCAGGATGTTCACATTCAACACTAGAAAAAAAGAAAAAACACCACACACACACACACACACACACACACAGACACACACACACACACACACACACACACACACACTCAGAAGTGAATGGAAAAGCCAACATCTTAGAAATAAACACAATACAAATGGCCCCGTGACTTCCTTCTACAACAATGCAAACGTGCTGTATCACTCTGGCTGGCTTATGTAAGAGCTACGGGCAGCCTCAGCAGCAAACACTGACTGTGTGTGTGTGTGTGTGTGTGTGTGTGTGTGTGTGTGTGTTACTGTTTGAGGGTGTGTGTGTGTGTGTGTGTGTGTGTGTGTGTGTGTGTGTGTGTGTGTGTGCAGGGATGTGTGTGCACAAGCCCAAGAGAAATCACTGTTTCAATTTGTCCAGGCAGAGAGAGAAATGAGGGCTGCACTTTACTGAATCACATTTTTCTGGGGAATTCATGGTCTGTTTCCCAGTGACTCAATCCACTTACCAACAGGGCAATTTAGGCTCCCAAGAAACCCCATCCCCTCAAATCACCACAGACAGTTTGTCCAACATTGAGGCGCACTTGTAAAACTCACATATTTTAATCTTGGTTTTATTACACTCAACACTCAGTGACGTAAGAAAGTGAGACACTGACACACATATTTTACACCTCTGAAGCCCGTCCTCCCGGCAGCTGAGCGCTGTGAGTCTCATAAGAGCAGACAGCTGCTCCGCTGGACAAACACATGGTCATCTGAGGTGGATAAAGACTTCGCATCCAGGATCAGCTCTATTCGCCCATCTGGCCCTCTCCTGTGATGTAATGTATTAATGGAGGCAAAGCTGAGTAACTATTACTTATAGGGTGTCTTTTCTGGAGGACTGCTAGTAAAAAAAAAATCAAATAAATTAAATAAATTAAAGTAAATTTAGATAGATAGATAGATAGATAGATAGATAGATAGATAGATAGATAGATAGATAGATAGATAGATAGATAGATAGATAGACAGATAGACAGATAGATAGACAGATAGATAGATAGACAGATAGACAGATAGACATGTAAAACCACATGCGTTTTTTGTTCGTTATATGATTATTATTAACCCTGTAATTAATCAGTAGTGAAATTTAAGTCTGAAACTAACCCTCTGTTTAAGAAGAAAAACAAAGACTCCTTGATAAAATTATTAGTGTTACATTGTTGGATGCTGATCTAAAGTAACTAGGAAAGCTGTTAGAGCCAGCTATTGTAACTAGGATATGGGGTGTGGAGAGTGGGGGTGGTTTGTTACAATTTAATGTTGTCCTCTATTCATGTAGTGCCATCTGCAATAACACTAATCTCTAATTTGGGCAGCAGCACAGGCAGAGCAGTGGATCTGCGTGTGTGCTGCACACAGGAGAAGGGAACCCGGGGGACTTTGTTCCCACTTACTGCATGATGAGAAAGTAAACTATGTACATACAGACACCAGCAGTAGAGCACTAATATGGGCTCAAAATGTGGTCATAAATATTTTGTACTTGTAAATCGGTTTTGTACTTGTAAATCAGGATTTGTATGTGTAAAAAAAATTTGTGTGTGCGTAAAAAAGATTTGTATGTGTAAAAAAAAATTTGTGTGTGCGTAAAAAAAGATTTGTATGTGTAAAAAAAAATTGTGTGTGCGTAAAAAAAGATTTGTGTGTGGACTTAGCCAAAAAAAACCCTGCAAGTTACAAGTACGAATTTTGACCCTATTTTTCTTCCTTTCATCTGATTGGATTGTTATATTTATGATTGACATGACATTCACCAATCAGAGAACAGATGGGTTTGGCTGTCGGAGGGGCACTTTTTTGAACTGCAGGTCCTTGAAGGGAATAAATGCCCTTTTACATGCCAACCCAGCGTTTTCCTTCATCACCACGAAGGAAAACAGTCTGTGGTCGTCCAAGTTTGGTGATTTTTGTGTCACAGGTCTACGTGTTTAATATAGGGACTTCCACAGCCTTTTCAACAGCGCTGCGGACCGCGGGGTAGGGGCGGGCAGTGTTTTGGAAATGACAGTCTTCATTACAAAGCTTTCTTCGTTATGAATTAGCATAGATGTTTTTATTGAACATTTGAAGAACCAGCAAAAAAAAAAAAAACTCTTGTAGAGGACATAAAGTCAGAGATAGAAAAGACAAGGAGCAGGTGCATCTAGTACAGGTAGAGCTGCTGCAAAAACCCACAGAGCCCAGCAGCCAGCGCAACAAGTTCTGGATCCTTTGCTTTTAGTTAGCAGTTAGCATTAGCAGCACATCCTGCGTCCGATGTGAAAGAACTTTTATGCTGCGCACTGTGACTCACAGCCATGGTCCTGGGTCAGCCCTGACTTTGTGTTAAACTAATCCTAAAGTAATAATGATATTTCTAACCACTGATATACCACAACTTTACCTTTTCAACAGCTACTGAAAGTTAGGGGACCTAGCTGCTACCCTTCAAGGACCTGCAGTTCAAAAAAGCGCCCCTCCGACAGCCAAACCCATCTGTTCTCTGATTGGATTGTTATATTTGTGATTGACATGACATTGACCAATCAGATGAAAGGAAGAAAAATAGGGTCAAAATTCATACTTGTAACTTGCAAGGTTTTTTTGGCTAAGTCCACACACAAATCTTTTTTACACATACAAATCTTTTTTACGCACATACAAATCTTTTTTACGCACACACAAATTTTTTTTTTACACACACAAATCTTTTTTACACACACACAAATTTTTTTTACACATACAAAACCGATTTACAAGTACAAAATATTTATGACCACATTTTGAGCCCATACACTAACTTACAACTGAGATACAGTACTGTGCAAAAATCCTGAGCCACCCCCACCTTTATATTTTGCTTTCAATCAGCCAGACTTTTATTTGGACCTTTGCTACTTTTTCACAGATATTCAGTACAGTCCTTGTACCTGACCACTTTTGGAGAAATGCGTTTTTTGTTTGTTAAATCGCTGAGCACAGACCTGTGAATTATTGAAGCGTAAAAAACAAAACCTAACTCTAAGAATGAACCAGTGGACCCATCTACACACAGGAAACTTATTTTAAATGATATCTTAAGGCACTTTGTTACTATAGCCTGTCACAAAAACACAAATTGTTTCAGTTTCTTTAACTAAATCCCAAAAAGCCAAATATGATACAGTCTGACAAGAATAAAGTAGTAATTATCCACCACCAAGGTGCATCCTAAAGAGGAATACATTAAAAACCTGGCATATATTCCATATGGTGTGTCCTTAAAACAAATTTGAGGAAACTGGACAAGTGGTGAACTAGTTGGTGACCCCTGAGCAACTTCCTTAGGGGTAGCTCACAGAATTAAATACTAAAATGCCATAAAAGACACCAAGCCAAACGGTTTAAATGTAAATTAAATAACATTAAACACAGTTTTCGGTTTCAGCGGCTTGAACATTCAGCTGGCCCACAAAGACAAACCACTTCCCTACTAGTCTTTCTTCTGTGGTTTCTGTGAGCAGACAGAAACAATTTCCACCTTCTAATAAACATATTTAAGCTACTTCAGCTGGAAGGAGAGCTGTGAGATGGACACTAAACATCAGCGACAGCAGGTGAATTCGACATGTTAAGCAGGCAACATAGTCGGCGATGGTCGACTCAAGGCCCGGTTTACCCCTCAGCTGGCCCTGACCAGGACAGCCCGAACCAACTTCAGCCTAGCAAATCAGAGCAAAGCAGAGCACAGTTGGCCTATAGACTCACTACCAAGAAAAGTACCTTTCTCTTTCACCTCTTAGCTCTCCAAAAATCTGTGGTCTGAGTAGCATCAGTAGTGATTATATAGATTTCACTTTTAAATAAGCTCTAGGCTGTGGTACATTGTTTTGATATCTGATAATGCAGCTTTCTAGAGAACTAAAACTGTAACCCAGTTCTAGTTCACACAAAGATAATGATCTGGGCATAGTGCAGTGCAGTCATATCTAGCATGCTCAGTATTTTGCCACTTTGCCACACAGCCTCTGGTGCGAGTTTTGCACAAAAAGTGCTGATTTTTAACATGCAGATGTTTTAGTGCCTACTCGAAACTGTTTTATTGTCTTCTGGCTAGCTGAGTAACTTGCTGCACCAACTGAGAGTTTACCCCATAAAATATAACACAGTGAAACCTGAGTCACTGAGCTTGAGCTTTATACTTTCAAGTTTCATGTTCTGATATTACTTTAACAACAGAATAACCTTGTTAATGTCACGCTGAAGATTTCACACAGACTGCACATGTCTATCTGAGTGTTTTGCTGCAAGTAGGAACGACTGGTCTGCCATACGTCATGCGTCTCAAAAAGATGACATGTCTGGACACCACACAAAACACAGGATTTGTGAGCAAACGCCATGCAAATACATAATCAATATACATATAAATTCCATGTTTGGAAATACTCTTTTATTTATTTATTCATTTATAAGTGCTACATGGCTCTGAAAGCTTATCCAAAAGTAGAGCATAAACAAGGTCGATAGTAAAAAAAAAAAAAAAGGTGCTCTGTTTAGGATAAAATCATGCAATAAATTTATTCTTGCAGCAGTTCAGCAAGCATAATAGACCAAATTGACTCCAAGTCTTCATCAGGATCTGACAAATACAAATTGTAAATTCCACAAAAAGGCCGAAAGCAACAATGAATTAAATCCTACTAAGACGCTATTGTGTGTGGCTCTGAAGTCTCATACTGTATATCCTAATCCTGCAATACAGAGCTCCACTTTTGTCCAAAAACTATCACAAAAACACAACAAAAAGCAACACTGTTGCACTGGTGGCACTGACTGGTATTCATTATGACAAACACAAACAGTGCTGTTTGTTTTGACTAAAAATCATGCTGTCTTGATTTGCCCAACAGAAAACAGTCCTCAAAAAATTCACTCGGCCAGAAATGTGGTAGTCCAAGACTATCAAGAAAGACATATGAAGGAGAAAAATGCTACACTGGTGATACTTAGATAATGTCCTAATATCATTATAATGACTGCTTTCATTTGCCACACCTACTTCAGGGCAAGAAAACAGGAAAGACTGGGTATGATGATAACATTCAAATATAGTCTCAGGAAAAGTGAATGAACAGCTGGTCCTTATTATGTTATTTATTTGCATCTATTGTCATGTTTTCTTTGGTACCTAATTAGGTACCTAAAATGGTATTTTAAAAAAAAGAAAAAGAAATGCCAAAGGTCGCCCAACAACGCATGCATCACAAGGAAACAAAGACACTGAATCCTCTGTTGAGGCTTGAACACAGCACTGCCCTGTTTTGGTTCTCTCCCATGTGTTGTTAAAGGATCTCTGCATATGGCACTTATCTATGAGGCTGTATTTAAAGGATTAACATGTCAGGTGAAGTTTGTAGACAGCCACTCACATGCTTGAAGTTGGTGTGAGGGGCAGCGTCGGCCCCATTCTCCTCCAGGTACTCCTCCCAGTTAAACTCCACCTCTTCCTCCATCGAATCTGCATCTAAATGAACAAAAGTCAACTGTACATTAGCCAACAATAAGACAGATACTTAAAACAACAATTTAGCTCCCAGCTGATTTTTGTTTTTACTGTTACTTATTGCCTCATTCGTGCCCAGGAAACAAGGAAATATACCTAATAAGAACGGAGGCTTTCAGCTCTTCATCACACTCCTTTGAATATTTAGACAGTTTAAAATTGTTGTTACACAACAAGAACATCAGGCACTGCCACTGGAAAATGTCATCTTATTTATTAACAGGCCTAAGCAGCTGTTGGCCCATATCTCAGTGCATCCCTAATGCAGGTAGCAATTAAACACAGAGCTGTAATTTCTTGTAAATGTAGCTAATTTTGCCTAAGCACAAAATCCACAGTAAACTATCTGGAGGCAGTTTGCGTGCACAGCGTGCTGCAGGTTGTCTTACATAATGTCATTAATGTTTCTCCTGAAGGTGATTGAAGCTGATGCAGTCGAGGCATGCGTCAGGGTTTTTTTCCCATCAGTATGTTTCTGTGTGAGTGAAGTATGTGAAGGCTGTGTGTGTGTGTCTGTGTGTGTGTTTCAGTGTGTGCTGGAGACTCCTCAGAGTGAAAACTGAGGGACTGAACCTGTTCTGTGTAATGAGAGGAGATGGTAGCGAGCTGCTATTTTGATGGAGTTTGTTTCTAATAGACTGAAGTGTCTGCTCTCATTTTTCCCATGAATGGACATACGTGGCTTCCTCCCCTTAGTGGTCATTTTTCACTTTGTATATTATTAAATTAGTACATGTTTTTTCTTGTTTCTGATCATCAGCCAAAATTCAGACAATTTCATATTACATAGAGACTGCCTGACAATGCATAATAAACTGCTTGGAACATGTTGCCATGGAGCTCCCTCCACATATGTTCTAGATTCACACTGCATAGTAAATTCATTCTGTACATATGAGATCTGTCATAATCCACCACAGTGGTTTCCAAGCTGTGTCCTGTGGCCCAACAGAGCACCTCGAGGTTAGTCCAGGTGTACCTTGGGTATTTGTGTCAACTTAACATTATTAGTGCAAATTTAAATTCGTGATATCAGTTTAAAGAGTCTGACAATAAGATGGGTGAGGTAAGAGAGATAACTTTCCTGTGTGCAACACACAACTGCTAACTGAAATGGTTATGCTATTAAAAGTGCCTGCATCTGAAAATACAATCAAAAGAGGAACTGACAACACTTCAGATGACAAACAGGCTATTTTCTGCAGATATGAACACATGTGCGCCTTGTACTGTGTTTTTTGGGACACCTTACACAAGAAACACAAAAATAAGCAATTTAACACCAACATTAAGTTACACGATATGTCAGTGCATGTCGCCTCAGCTTCTCTTACAGGGAGTGCAGAATTATTAGGCAAATGAGTATTTTGTCCACATCATCCTCTTCATGCATGTTGTCTTACTCCAAGCTGTATAGGCTTGAAAGCCTACTACCAATTAATCATATTAGGTGATGTGTAATGAGAAGGGGTGTGGTCTAATGACATCAACACCCTATATCAGGTGTGCATAATTATTAGGCAACTTCCTTTCCTTTGGCAAAATGGGTCAAAAGAAGGACTTGACAGGCTCAGAAAAGTCAAAAATAGTGAGATATCTTGCAGAGGGATGCAGCAGTCTCAAAATTGCAAAGCTTCTGAAGCGTGATCATCGAACAATCAAGCGTTTCATTCAAAATAGTCAACAGGGTCGCAAGAAGCGTGTGGAAAAACCAAGGCGCAAAATAACTGCCCATGAACTGAGAAAAGTCAAGCGTGCAGCTGCCACTTGCCACCAGTTTGGCCATATTTCAGAGCTGCAACATCACTGGAGTGCCCAAAAGCACAAGGTGTGCAATACTCAGAGACATGGCCAAGGTAAGAAAGGCTGAAAGACGACCACCACTGAACAAGACACACAAGCTGAAACGTCAAGACTGGGCCAAGAAATATCTCAAGACTGGTTTTTCTAAGGTTTTATGGACTGATGAAATGAGAGTGAGTCTTGATGGGCCAGATGGATGGGCCCGTGGCTGGATTGGTAAAGGGCAGAGAGCTCCAGTCCGACTCAGACGCCAGCAAGGTGGAGGTGGAGTACTGGTTTGGGCTGGTATCATCAAAGATGAGCTTGTGGGGCCTTTTCGGGTTGAGGATGGAGTCAAGCTCAACTCCCAGTCCTACTGCCAGTTTCTGGAAGACACCTTCTTCAAGCAGTGGTACAGGAAGAAGTCTGCATCCTTCAAGAAAAACATGATTTTCATGCAGGACAATGCTCCATCACACGCGTCCAAGTACTCCACAGCGTGGCTGGCAAGAAAGGGTATAAAAGAAGAAAAACTAATGACATGGCCACCTTGTTCACCTGATCTGAACCCCATTGAGAACCTGTGGTCCATCATCAAATGTGAGATTTACAAGGAGGGAAAACAGTACACCTCTCTGAACAGTGTCTGGGAGGCTGTGGTTGCTGCTGCACGCAATGTTGATGGTGAACAGATCAAAACACTGACAGAATCCATGGATGGCAGGCTTTTGAGTGTCCTTGCAAAGAAAGGTGGCTATATTGGTCGCTGATTTGTTTTTGTTTTGTTTTTGAATGTCAGAAATGTATATTTGTGAATGTGGAGATGTTATATTGGTTTCACTGGTAAAAATAAATAATTGAAATGGGTATATATTTGTTTTTTGTTAAGTTGCCTAATAATTATGCACAGTAATAGTCACCTGCACACACAGATATCCCCCTAAAATAGCTCAAACTAAAAACAAACTAAAAACTACTTCCAAAAACATTCAGCTTTGATATTAATGAGTTTTTTGGGTTCATTGAGAACATGGTTGTTGTTCAATAATAAAATTATTCCTCAAAAATACAACTTGCCTAATAATTCTGCACCCCCTGTAGTTAAATGATAAATCAAAGTCATTTTACAACTTATACTCCACTGGTTCAGTTTCAGGTATAAGAAGTGTTAAAAATGTCCCATCATGAACAAAAACTTAAATTTGCACCTTCGCTCAGGATTGCAAACACATCAAACTGGCATTTAGCTCACATTTTATGTTTTCTTTAGAAAGAGAAAGTAGCACAACAACTGCAAGTCCAGAATGTGCCTCGAATACAGGCCAGTAACGTATCCTGACATGTTCATGTGCAATGACAAAACAGCCTGTAAAGTGGGCTTCCACGTAACGGTATGGGCATAGGTGTTACATAACAGCCATCTTTGAATACACAGGAAAAAATACATGCTTCTCGTGACTAATCCATGAGGACAGGAGAATTCAGTTCAAGCAATAAACAGCCAGGGACATACCCTTACTGCTGACCTAAAGGAGAAATCTACAGAGAGAATTAGAGCATGTCTTTGTGACACAAGTGGCATTCTCTGTTTCCCATCTTGTTAGTGAGATTCCTCAGACGCATTTTCATCTGTGTCAACCGCACCAATCTGTTGATCTGATGAGGGCTGCAACATGAAACCACCCTGGCCACATTATGGTTAAAAAAAAGCAGTGCAGGGTCTTACCTGTGTTCACCTCTTCTTCTTTCCCATTGGTGGGATAGTGTGGCTTCACTGTAGTGAGGGCCAGTGGCTGCTCCTGAGTGTGAGACTGCATGCTGCCCGTTTGACTTCCTGTTGAGCATTAACCTTTAAACCTGAGATCTTTCAATTCTTCTTCACAGCATCTCTCGCCTTCCTTGACAGCCCTGCACCAGAAAATATAAATTCAATCAAAGCTCTAATTTAATCAGATAATGTTCAATCTGCCCTCTGTCCAGAATAGTCCAAGATCCTTCCAGGAAACAGATGATTTTACTGCTCTTCACTTACAATAACACGAACAAATCGACACAGTTCACAAAACCTTGAGGTTTGCACACATAAACAGCCAGTATTTGATGAGAATTTCCTTGGAAATTGTGCACACTGTATTTCCATTTTCTTGAGAATAAACAAAAGAAGAAGTGGGTGGTTACCACAACCAGCAACAGCCAGTTTGTCTTAATGTGCTAAAAAGAAAAGAATGCCACCTTCAGAAACTTAACACAAGTCAGCTGATATTTTCAAAACAGTAAAAAGCACAGCAGTTTTCTGCATCATTAAAATCATCCTCTCCCTCCTCTGCCTGTGTGCTTTTCCAATATCTTGCATGCTGTGTTCATTTTCATACCACAGCAAAACTGCATCAGATAACCAGTCAGAGTCAAACAAAGTAGAAAAACTGGAATAACATGACTAAGCAAACAAGTCTGCAAATAAGTGTGACCAGAAAATATGCATCCAGGCACCTGAGGCAAGAGAATAATACAGAAGAGCAGAATCATGTCACTGTAACTAAATATGGAAGACTAAAGAGGAAATACTGTCTGACCGTAAATATGTATTTCTGGCACATACTGAAGGAAGCGTAACTGTGTAACGCTAACAACCATAAACACGTTTCTTTTGATCCTTTATATCATTAGCTAAGCTAATGTGTTAACTGAATATTGTTGGAGAGAACTGTAATAAAAAAATAATAAAAAAGAAAACAGGTAACCATGTCCTGATATTAAGTTTTAACCTTTTCCTTGTGGCTTTCTGTTATTATACAGAAATACCTGCAACTTACTCTACTTCTTTTGTCTTTCTGGTTTGTAATCCTGCTAATAACCTTCAACCTAATGCAAATCCTAACAGGTAAAACATGCTTCCAGGTGTTGATTAGCAAACCAGCTTCACCCTCCGGATCAAAGGTTAGTTTCTTCCCCTCCTCACAAAACTACAAAACTCAACTGTAATTGTGACTGGATTGTTTGTTTTTACCTTTCCCAACCCGTTTTATGTGGTATTGTTTTTCTTTTTAATTCGGTTTCTCTGTATTTAGCTAATCAGTTCAACTATTTCACCATTTGCACATTGACTGATTAACTGTTTAGGCCAGGCGTGTCAAACATAAGGCCCGGGGACCAGAATCACCCTGGTGAAGACTCCAAACCGGCCAACTGAATAGCTTTGGAAAATGTGAAGGACAACATAAATTTTTGACTTTTAATTGTATTTTCACAATATTTACAGCTTTTCCTATAGATAAAGACCTCTGTCATAAAATTCCCAATACAAAGTAATTAATTTATACATTTCTGTAATTTTACACATTTGCTTCTTACAATTTAAGCACAAAGAGTCATACTGACAGATTTCTTTCATTTACTACAGCGGCCCTTTATCATGTGCAAAATCTGAGACAAACTGCTTAAATTGCACCTTTTATCTTATATTTAGATATCACATTGATTACATGTGTAGTTACATTTCTTTACACATAGACAGAAATGGAAGTTTTAACGTAACATAAGGCTGTATATGACCTGCAATGCAAAATGAGTTTGACGTCCTTGGTTTAGGTTATAATTATTACTAAATCATGCAAAAATATAGTGAACATTTTCACTGAGTCCTCCCTCAACTCCTTCAATGTCTCATTAGTCCACAACCCTCACAGCAGGTCCCTTCTCTGAGCAGTTCTCCCATGTCTGCAATGATCTTCACAGCATCAAAAACATGACAAGTTAATTTTCCCATTAATGTGGCTTTAACCAAGGAACCTGTACACATCCGGAGCTGCTGCACAGCTGCTGCCTACTGCCGATCATAACTAAGATAGGTGAACTGCAGAGACTTATTTCCTACAGGAATCAATAAAGGATGTCTTACCCTCTAATACAAAGCGGAGAAAACAAGCAAATCCTCCAACCTAAAAAATACAATTCACTGATGATCACTCCTTGCAGTGCATCATTAAAGCTGTATAAATACACTTAAAAATGCCAGGACAGCATGTAGAAACCATGAGACTTGTGCAGTAAAAGGAATTTTAAGCAATAAAGTAAATCCTAAAGGAATAAAAACCACAAGTCTATCCAACGCTGGCATTATTCCATGAATAAAACAAAGAAAAACAATCAAAACAATCATCAGTTCATTATATTCACAAGAACAGGCTATGTTTGTCACTTGCCTGGTGGTTGTTCTTGGTCATGCAGTCACATCACCAATGAATCACTCACCGACTTACACCCATTTTCATCAACCTGGCAATTAGAGCTGAGGCATGTTGCTGTCACACAGCGATCCTCAATCAAGAAGAAAACAACTCCAAGCTCATGGGGTTGTTGCTCTCAACTTTGAAAATAAATATCCAAAAGAGCAAAAAATACTCCGTGATTAAGTACCCAACCTGATGTGCACCCACATGGGGAAAAAAAAAGAAGAAATAAAACAAAACTGTGATGCGCATCCAGCAATCCTCTGATGAAAACACACTGAAGTCCTGCTTCCAAAAAAGAGAACAAAGGAAAGAGCCTTAAAATCCACAGGAAAGGAAAACACTTCTCCTCGTCCTCGCACGCCTGTTGGAGCTGCGAGTGTATGTAGAACTGTGAGGCTGCAGCACAAAGGCTGTGACAGCCTCAACAACTAACTGTGTGTGTGTGCGCGCCATCCCCCACCACAGAACACACACCCCCTTGCGTCCCACAGTGGCTCCGGCGTGCATCCATTGCGTAAACAACACGCTGAGCTAATTTGGCTCACATGACGCTGCTGTTTGCTGCCCTTATCCCCCACTCTCTGCCTAAGTACACTACAATCTTCAGCACTGATACATCACTGTCGTCAGCAGCCTTCCACAGCACTCATTAAACTCATCAGAGTGCTCAAACACTGCTATCAAACAGTAGGAAGAGGATGAGCAGCTCTTGTTTCTTTTCCTTAAAATTCTCTTTAAAAACTTGCAGTTTCACATTCACTCTACATCTGCTTATTTCAACACCTCAGCAAAGCAATCTAGAGCCTGATTGACATCTTTTAACTACTTTTTATGGTTTGTTATTTTAAAAACAGAAACAACGATCCACAATTTGCAGCTTTTGTCGATTTTATATCATCGTACATTGGATAGCTCTAAGATTTTTGAGCTGATGTAAATTTGCAATGCATGACAATTGACTCCCAAAGTCATAACCTCCTGTTTGAACTTTAAAATATCAGATTTTTACCAGTTTTAGTTCTGCCTAATCCAGAATTTCAAAACACACTTCTTCGCCTGTTCACCCATCATAAGAAACACATATGTGAAATGTTTTTTTTTCCTCTCCAGTCTTTACTTCCACCGAAAAATTTGAAGAGAAGTTACAGCCATGAAACGATGAGTCAGTAACACTGGTGTTATTGAACTTGTTCTCAATACTCTCAGCTTCAACTCCATCTAATTTGTTTCAACAGAAATGAAGCACAACAAATCCTACATCCATCTGAGTCACTGTAGCACTAGGTTGCCTCAAACCTTTGAAAAATTGCACCATGTATACACAGCCCTCAATAGGGCGAGGAACAATGCACCTTTCTGAGCTGTTTTGGTGCTACACTGTAGCCCGTTTTCTCTGAACTGAAAGAAAGAGAGTAAGCCCTGTGGTTAAAGTGACTTTGAGCTTTAATTTGAGGGCTTTAACAACCACACGAGATGAAAAGTGCAGCGACTGCAGCCCTATCATTGTCCACCTGCACTTCCCAGCAACTGGAGGCAGAATGTTTTTTGTTTTTTTTTTAAAACGCATCAACCATTCCCCACACTAATTAGCTCAATACATGATGAGAACACCCTCGAAACATTTAAGCTGAAGGTTTTATTTCCAGTATGCTGGAAGTCAAAAAAAAAAAAAAACACAAAAAAAAACAGGAAATGTGTCATTGCTCAAATACTTTTGGCTAGCATTGCTCATTTCCCTAGAAGTCACTGCACATATTTATTATACTTGTAAACTCTTTGAATAGTCTCTGGAATAAAAGGTCACATATGCTCATTTTATCAAATTAATGAAGTACTTTGGGGTCTTGAGGAAAGAAAGCTCACATCTATGTGCCTAAAGGTGCTTTACAATGAGTTTTCACAAGACACAGGCTTTAAAATTAATTTCTATGCGTGTAAAGTTTGGAAACAGGAGAACTAAACTCCCCCTATCCTCCTACATAAAATTAAATATTGCAATGAACCACTGGAAGTCGGCTTAAACAACAATGTTTTCTACACTGACAACTCCATACCAGTGCAAGCTGAGCTTTTCCTTAAATTGATCCCTCACTGGATAAACAAGTTTTCCAAACCCTGAGGGACGTTTGTTTGTTCTGACTCAGTGTTAACAGTTCCCCTCAGCGTTCATCCAAAAAACAAGCCAAATTTTTGAAGGAGTTTTTTTCTGGGAGTTTCGCGTTTGTACTTGATGAAGCCTGCTGACCTGCAGCCTCCTGGAGGAAACAGCCCAGATTGGTCACCAGGGGATTAAACTGCTCTGAGAGTGTTTAATCTCAGACGCAGGACATTTGTGCCCCAATTGTCTCGGATTGAGAAGATTTTTTTTTTAAATTGATTAGCCCCTGATGGGGCGCTCGGGCATCCACGTGCTGTCTTCTTGCCTTTCTCTAAACCCATCCATGCCAAAGATTTAATAGGGGATTTAGGAGATTAACTACCACTGCATGGGCTTGGGTTTTATTGCATTACTCCGTATTAGGTTCTCTTCTTTTAGAGCTATCCAAGAGTTGTTTCCTCTTGGCAACAGGATGTCATCATATAACAATTTGTCCTCTGTTTCTAACTCTTAATTCCTGCTGTTTTTAACATAGATGTGCACACAACGCACCCAATGTGCTTTATTCCCCAATTAGAACTGCCTGTGATCCCTCACTGAAAACATAAGCATGAAATGACGTCGGGCAAACAAGCATCTGCCCCTCAGGACCACAAATAAATAAATAAATAAAAGAGAGAGGAAACAAGGGGTGAAACTCCCACATCCCAGAGCGTTCTTACAACTTCCACAAAACACACTTGCATAACATGGACAGCCTGCAAATCCAAGGCTTTTGGAAAGCAGGAGGAGAAGCTGATATTTGCCTACCTCCTCCCCTTATTCAAATAAGGGGGGAGAGTAAGTGTGATGCCAGCAGAAAGAAAGAAAGAAAGAAGAACAGAAAGAACTGGACTCTTTCTATCTTTGCTTCTCTTATCTGTGCAGAATATGTGATTGCCTCTTCTCCTGAAACACTCACCAGTGGATTAGCATACAATGCCTGATCAAGAAAACCAGCCACGTGATAAATGGCTGTTGGATGACACTTTTAAAATAAATGAATAAATAAAAAGCCAAACCACCAAAAATGATAATCAGCTGGACTCGTATTGGTCTTTCCCGTGGAGAAAATGGATTATGTATGTTTAACATTATGACCATCTTCGCATTTTCTCCTTTAAAAGTGCTCATTTTAGGCGTTTTCCCTTTATCCGCACGCCTGCGCTCACGCATTCCCACTCGCAGCGTCGTGGAAAAAATCTTTGGAGCCACAAGAAGTCTAAAAGCATGATTTATTCATTGCGAACCTCTATCTGGGGCTCCGTTACCCACAGTCTTTATTGTTTCTGCTCATTATGGTGACGAATTTAATCAGGAGGTGGAATCCTCTGGAATATTGTAAAGCCACTAAAAAAGAAAGAAATTGATTTTTGCGAAGCACCTCGCAAAGAAAAAGAGAAATAATTAAATAAATACGCATGTGGTTTTACCCAATTATCTGCTTAATCACTCAGAAAAAAAAAAAGAAATCCCCGCAGAGAAAACAACACAGCGAAAGAATTTTTTCTCGCCCGACTGTGCCAACGTCAACATATTAATCTAAGATTGCAGGGGGGATCAAAATCACCCTGTTGGTTTTATAAGGAAAACAGTATTAATCTGACACACGGCGATCTAGAAGCATCGAATGAGCCACAGCATTTTTGATAAAAGTGAAAGAGGAAACGTTAAGTGCACATAAGGAAGATGAGGCTGTGAGGGGTGTAGCCGACCAGCAGGCTGGCTGGCACTCCGGTCATGTACTTTGCACACTCAAAACTGCAGCGGAAAAAAACTCCCACGGAGTTGCCAAATGCACACTTTGAATTTAATTGATTAAACCTCGTCCATGTCCACCAAAAGAAACCGAACCGGACGCTTTATCTGCCGTCGTTTTATTTTTTCCTCGTTCAAAGATTTTAAGGCGCAGTTTTCCCCCTACGATCACCATAACCCGCCATGTTGAAAGTGGTTTGACATTTTGGCAGTGTCCGGTATTTTCCGAAGGCTTTTACGCATCTAAAGGTGACGGGAAAAAATCCCACATGACTCATCTATATGAGAATGACGGCAATAAGTCATTTCTGGCGTTAATCTTTAAAATCAACTTCGTGCTCACGCCAAACAAAATTGCGTCGCGGCCATATAAAACACAGCATTAAAGAAACACATCAAATAACACACGAGCCGCCACTCACTCCTATTTTCCCCACGAATTGTTATAAATTGTGTTGTTTTCAAAGCAGTAAATGGCAGAACACATGCTAACAGGCAAAAATAAATAAATAAAAAAAAATAACAAGGCAATAAACGATATTACCGAGAGTGCCACGAGACAACGTCCTCTCCGCCGGTGAAAGCTGTTAATTACAGCGCGTGCGAGACACTTTGAGCAACTTGGGCTCGTGAACGAAAGCTCGCGACTATATTATCTCGTTTCTACAGAAACCGTCTCTGGAGCACTTCGCTGTTTCAAAGCGGAGGAGGAGGAAAAAAATAACTCTGCCTGTGTTTATTTCGCCGATAAAACCTCCCCCCCGTTCCCGTCCCCCCCACAAAACCTCCCCCTGCTCAGGACCGCCGGAGCCGTCACCTGTCTTACCTGTCCAAGTTTTTTTTTTTTGTTGCCTCTCCTTCTCGTGACCCCCCTCTGCCTTTTTCTCTCTCTCTCTCTCTCTCGTTCCCGTGAGCTACGCAAGCGACGTCTTTCAGCTGCTGCTGCCCCCCCTCCTGTTCCAATATGGCATCCCCCATCTGCGCATGTCCAAAAAACATCTACAAATACTTTCAAGCCAACTCTTTCATTGACCTTTCAGCACAGTAGCAAAAACATATTTCTACAGGCTTTTGTAAATATGGAGCCGAGGTTAAGTGAGACACCCACAGCCCCCAAAACCGAAAGCTGTATTCTACTCAGCCGAGCAGATACAATGAAGACAATATCTAATGCCTAATTTATACCTGGTGTATGAAATAAAATGAAACTATTTTTGTGTGTGTGTAAAAACAGCCATTTCACCCACCCCCAGGACACATTTTTCTTTAACTATATAGTTACAGTTTTATTATTAACAGGAAGATAAACTATGACCCCGTATAATCACACGTAAACAACAATAAACGTGGTGATCCTTTTAAGGAAGTATATGTAAGAATAGTTAACTGTAACAGCAGCAGCAGTAGAGTATGTCTCATCATAAGCAGCTGCATATGTGCGTGAAAAAAAGAGTGAAGTCCATAATTTATGGCTTCTTGGCACCATTTAGTCGTTGTTAGCTACTTTTCTCAGTTCAGACTTTTTTCTTGTTCTTCTTTGTTTTGGGGAGGTCCACCGTAAGCAGAACCCTTCCCTCCCCAAACAAGTTCTTGAGAAATAACCTTGAGATCATATATATATATATATATATATATATATATATATCTTATCAAAGTCAACACTATCCTCTAGCGGTAGGAGTGTATTGCATCAGTTAACGAGGCGAGGCGCTCATGCGTAGACCTCAAAGGTTGGCATGTATTTTCAGAAAGATCTAGAAAGAGTCAGATATTAACAAACTGTGATGGTAAGTTAATCCCAGTGGAAGGCAGCGCATAGTGAAAGTTTTATGGGGTGGAAATAAACTGAACTTTCAGCCTGGCTTTTTGCCCGGAAAGTGAGAGCTACGCAGCTCTATACCGCCCCATATGACGTTTTTTTTCGTCTTCTTCTTCTGTTTTTTTAAGGTGGGCAATTTCTAAAAGAAGTTTCAGTGAAATTAAAGCAGGTTCCTCTTTGAACCTGAAACTTCACTCCTGACCTTGTGCCCGAGTTCTGACTCTTTGATGATATTTTGGGAACTTACTCCAATCACACGATGAATAATAGGGTGACTGTGTGTCCCACTTTTTTCTTTTTTTTTTAAATCATTTGTCCTCTCCCCGATCCCACGAGACATGTCCCACGGTTTTATTAACTGGAATTTACGCATGTCAGCCACAAAAACATGTCCATGGATCCGTGGATGCAAAAAGTGATCGATCGTATTTAAAGTGTTGTAAATGGTTTGTTGGCCTTCAGTGTTTCAAACACATCTCAAACATGTCCTTCATTAATGATATCGAGTCACCTTGTCACAAGGTAGAAGATGCAATCGTTTTTTGACAAAGTCACTTGTATGTCTTTTATTTATAGGAGTAAAACGTCTCACAAATATTAAAATGTCTTTTCCAAGAGGAGATCTTTTCAAAAGGGCAGCAGAAATTGCCACAAATATAACAAAGCAGTTAAAGATATTTTACATGTGATCAAAGAAACTGGATTGATTGTAACAGGACACAGAGTGGGAACAATAATGCATGCTATACTGATCATTTCTTTAATTTTCTATGCAACCATTTCTCTCGCACATCCTGTCCACTACAGCCTATTTACCAGTATAAGCAAATATATTACGCATAAAAAACACAGAAACGTAAGCAATCACCTTTTTACTCAGATGGCAGCTACATAAAAACAAACGGTTATGTTTAGAAAATTGCTTTTAAATTGAATAAAGTCAATTTTTACTTTGATATGATCGATGCCAAATCTTTACCGGCATATTGCGCGCTCGAGTGTGTGTGTTTAAGCTATCGCTCAGCTTTAGTAACGCGCAGTGCCTGACCAAACCAAATTCTTTGCTCAACATTTATTGTCTCTCGTTGAACTGATCATACTCATAAAAAGAAAATGCAATAAAGTTTTTCCATGAGCAAATGTCAAGTGCTCATGGACCTACTAGGTAAGCGCTACAGCAAATATAAATAGGTAATGTATTCATTCTTAGAATGAATAAATAAAAAGCTGTAAGTCCCGGTGACATGTTTGCCTTGATTGGCCTGACTAAACATGGAAACTATTTGAAGGATGAAAGAATCTAACATTTCTCAACGGAGATTAACAGAGTTAATAAAAACACCGAGACTGTTGACAAAGTATAGCTATCTTAAAATAGGAAGTGCATGACTTCTGGAAAAGTTCATGTGTGCAATCATGTCTGCACAAATTGCAAGTATAACCTGTGTTTACACAGTTGTGTAGATGTCGTTTGATATGCACAAGAGAAACCAAAACCTTCTGTGTGCTCCCGGAAAAGCTGGAAATATGTATCACGACAGTTAAAACCTGTTAATCAGGGTATTTATGATCAAACCGATATGGGGCAAGGAATGGAAAGTTTGAAAAATATGCGCAGTTTCACACATTTATATTTAGGAATCAAATATTGTTTCATTCAGCAACGATCGTCGAAACGTGGAGTTGCCTCATTTTAAGGAGAAATCTGTAAAACCCGATGGTCTCACTGTACAAGCGAAAACGCGCTCGCTACGTAGATTGCTTTAATTAAGGGTTTTGTTTTGAAATGTGTAATGGGAAGTTTGGTGTTGTGTTTACGGTAGATCTGCCTCATGGAAGCACAAAGGAGTCCTGTAAAAGACAGGAGGAGAGGCGCTCGTGCTGGTGGGATGCCACTCGTGGAACAGATGGTTGAAGCGTGCGCCGTGCGCCATTAATCTGCCAGAGAAGAAGCTTTTCCAAGCGCGCGGGAGAAAGGATTATGGCTCCATTTACACGTACACACAAACATACACACACACGGATGGCACGTGCTACTGCTGCATCACGTACACGCGGTTTTGCTCGCCGCAGGGGCGTTTCCAGGACTTTTTAAAATGGGGTGTCACAGGTGGGACCGGGAACAAGGCGCACACCAGAGTGTTTATCATAAATATAAACACACTCGGCCTCGTGTGTTTCTCTGCATCCTGTCAACGATTCATTAGATGTAAAGAAGTGCTGCAGACACATTTAAACATAGATTACTTGGTGCTGGATAACTGTTGTGTAAAGTGGGAAATATATTTAAAAAGCAACATTTATTCAAGTAAACCTTCTAATCCTACTTAATTATCCTAACAGCACACATGTTTTATAATTAAATTATATTTAAAACATGTAAAGAAAAAACTTCCACATTCATTATGATGTAATATTTGAGTTCTAGTTAGGTCTGTGGAGTGTAGTACTTGAGTTTAGGTCTTGTGTCTCAGTCCTGGTTGTCTTATTGTTCTACTGTTTGGAATTAAAGTCGGTGAGTCCACTCAGAGTTTCCGTCTGTCACGATAGTTCTGGTTTCACGGTTTCAGCTATTATTTATTTTAGCATACTGCAAAAAAGAAGAAGAAGAAGAAGAAGAAGAAGAAGAAGAAGAAAAAGAAAAAGGAAATTACCATAGTAACGGTAGTAAGTTACTTTCCATCCGGTGCTATCTGTGCTGTCATCTATCATTGCCACAATAGCAGTGCTCTATTGTAGGGCGGGGCGGGAGCTAAGTTGTAGTTGCTTCCAATTAGCTACAACCTGATGGATAGAATAAAAAGTCTGTTATTGAAAGAAAATCAGAAGGAAGTTATTGTATTACTCTGCTAAAGGCTAAGGTCACTTTTACTCTTCTCTGTTTTTTATGCGTCTTTTCATCCCTGTGGAAACATTACAGTTTATATGGAACTCATGGGTTGAAATGTGACTGTTTGTACAATAATCTATGTAAGAATAGATCAGGGCTGTTACCAGGATGTTTTTTAACGGGTTGCCACGGGGGCTAACCAAATACAAGTAGAGGAACCCACAGGACCCACACCCTCTGCTCAAGTAAAACGTGCAGTTCTGAACTTATGTTACTGTACAGACTGTGCTTGTCATGAAAATATACTTAATGTAAATAACAGTAATGTTATGCAGAATGGCTCTTGTCGGAATTATATAGATGACTTTATCTGTATTCTTAGTGGATTGTTTTCTGTATTTGAAAGTCTGCAAAATCATACAATATTGACAATATTTTTGTATCAGTGGAGTAAAATCAACAAAGCATAGGAAGTCTATCTATCTATCTATCTATCTATCTATCTATCTATCTATCTATCTATCTATCTATCTATCTATCTATCTATCTGTGTGTGTGTGTGTGTGTGTGTGTGTGTGTGTGTGTGTGTGTGTGTGTGTGTGTGTGTGATGTAATAAAATTATATCATATAACATATAATATACTTACGTTTTTTGTTTTATTGGAAGCCAGCTGGAAAACCTATAGATTTCCTTTGTTACATCATCACGTGAGCCAGCAATTTGCCTCGTGGGGCCCGTGCGCATCACCGACACACACACGCACACACACATATAGGATCACATTAACTAATTTCTGCTGCGAGAAAGCTGCGTCGATTCCACCCAAGAATAACAGGAAGTTAAACGAATTTATCTTCAAAATAAAAGGCCAGGAATCGTCTCAAGAGAAATAAACATGCTGAAAAACAAAAACAAAAAGCCGGTTGCAAATCAAAAGAAAAAAATCCTATTCGCATTAATAAGATAAAAAACACTATTACTTCTAAATAGCTTTTCATATAGGATCATTAAAAGGGTACGGTCGATAGTGGTTTCAGAAAAGCTATATTATTTCGTATATTGTAGAATAGAATAGAATAGAATAGAATAGAATAG